TCTAAAAAAATGTACTCAAATGTTGCACGGCGGGTCTTTTTTTTCACTTGTACCTGACTTTAGTAAACGATTACTATACTATACCTTTTTATTATTGACCCGTGTACCTCTAACAAAGTGACCAGAAGAGAGATTGGCTATAATGATTATCCTTAATTTTTTTTTAATTGCGACGAACCAGTCCCCCTTTTTCTATTTACAAGATAACTGCACGGCGTCAAAAAAGTCCGCATTTCTCTCTTTTACAAGGTTTTTGTTTTCAAGATCAAGCCAATCCCGGTGGAGCCACCAGCACGCGAGGAAAAGTAAGAGTTCATCTCGGCTCATTCTTAATTCTAATAAGTCAATCCACGTTCTAACGAACGACTGTAAAATAAAAACTTCATTTGCTTGTAGAGTAAAAGTTCCTTAACGCGAAATCTGAACGTTGCCATCTCGGAAACAGAATAACCAACCTATAAAATATTACACCCAGAGTATTTGCGATCTAACAAACTGAGTTGTAAGTTCTCAGCTGCTTCTATTCGAGCCCATATTTTAGTTCCTTACTGCAATAGTAACGAGCAAGATGAGCATGTTTTGCGCAAAAGTTTCTGCCACTAGGCTAAGCCCGAAATAAAACTCAAGGATGCAACTGGTAAACTCGTCCTTTCAGCACACACGTTACACTACCACTACTGCGCCGTATGTTTCGTCCTGACTACTGTAACTCTTACCCTACCCCTGGGTTGAAATTGCTCCTTACTTCGGTCGCGCCGAAAATTCAAACGTCATCGAAGAGAAGTTATCGGAAATGTTGAAATTTTCCGCGCGTGAAAGCTATTGTTTCACGTTGATCCTTACAAAGTAAGAACAGGGGCGGATCTAGGGGGAGGGTGCAGGGGGTGCGCACCCCCCCCCCCTGAGATGACCTGCGGTTTTCTAATACAACTGGTATTCTGCGAAAAAAAAATACTATGTGGTTTATTGGTGTTGAAGTAGAGCAAGAGACGAGTGCACCCCCTCCTAAAAAAAATCCTGAATCCGCCCCTGAAGAAGCGATCAAAAATAAGAGTACATGACAGTACCTATTGTTGTCAAATTCAGGTCTATTTTCTTGATTCGCTTGCCGGCTTTGCCGGCCCTGGAAGCCAAAACACAAGGGATCCGGCTCGAATATCCAAAAAATGCATATTAAAAGCAGGAAATTATCAACATACTTCCATTTTTTCGATTAAGTTTCCCTCTTTTTCGTACAACTGTTTTGCATATTATTAGTGATATTGATTTTCTGTCATTCTGCTAAAACTGTGCTCGAGAAAGCCAAATTCTGCTGGCAGAGTGTTCATAGCAAAATCACTTATTCAGCTAGAAATTCTGCCAGTAGAATCTATCCAAAATATCTTTAACTGTTTTCTTTTCAGATGACAAGACAGCCACAATCAGGCGTGGTTCATGATTCTCTCTGGAGTTCGTTGGCTCGGATTTCGCCTTGACATGCTTTTTTTCTTCTCGTTACTTTGGTTCTGTTTGGGCGGCTGATAATGGAGTCTGAGCCACGTAAAGTTTGCACGCTTTGCGGACCTCTCTTTAGTAGTCCTCCATTTGTCCTCAGGGATTGTAGAGCGAGCGAAACGCGAGTGCGCGTGAAAATCACTCCACGCGAGAAAAGGCGACACGCGGCGGGGAGAGAGAAAAATTTTTCTCTCTCCCCACAGCGTCGCATTTCGCTCACTTTACTATCCGTGAAAAAAAATGGGGGACTACTCGTAGTCTACAATCTCGACCCTCGAGTCCGCTTTTCTTTCGGTCATCGTGGCCAGTCGTGCTGAGCAAAAAAGGGGCTTTAGATTCATTGTGCCAAAGACTTAATTTTATCTCTAGATCAGAAAGCGCGTGAGTTTGCGGACCTTCCTCTACTTTAGAGAAAACGAAACAAAAGAAAGACTGCTTGCAGTCCGGCTATAACTGTCTCGGGGAGTCAAGAAGGTTTGTACAACAGATGTTTGCAATTATTTTGAATTAAATGTTTCTTTGTCCTTTCTTCATCAGGTGTAACCGCTTTGTCATTGGTGTACATGCTTCAGCTGGTTGTAGACACGTTACAGTTTGAAGTCATTCAGAGCTCTGAAGTGAAAAGTTTTATGACGTCAGTGGAACGCGTTGTGACGTACCCCGAGATTGAGCTGGATCCTAGATACCAGCCCTCACGCGAATGGCCCGACAGAGGGGAAATACAATTTCGGGAACAACTGCATCTGCCTCCAAAGATAACGTCGAGCGATTTCAGTTATTACCCAAGATCCTATTCTGTTTACCGGCTCACTGTGCATGAATTTCGATCCCTTTGACGAGTACGGAGACAATGAATTATGGGATGCACTGGAAGAAGCGAGTCTGATAGCCTCCCACGCAGACGTTCTTAGGGGTTCATCTGCGTGTGAGGCTACGAGTCTAACAGCCGTGGTGCGAAAGTTATCATGGAAACTAAGCGAGGAAGTAAGGGTAGGCGGAATCAACTTCAGTATTGGAGAAAGACAACTTCTATGTCTGGCCCGCGCATTACTGAAGAAAAGCAGGATTATTGTCTTGGATGAAGCAACAGCAAACGTCCATTACGAAACACATCGGGTTATTCAAGAAACCATACGAGCAAAGTTCAAACAGTGTGACGTCATGACAATCGGTCACCGACTAAACACTATCGAAGATTACGACTGAGTGTTGGTTCTCGACGATGGAGGTACTTTTGGTTTTGACGGACCTGAAAACTTACTGAAAAACAAAGTTACCTCTTTTAAAAACACTGATAAGAATGGACATACCACATAATTTGTTTGCCCAAAACGCGGTTCGGTTACTCTCTGCATAAATCCTCTTAACTCTAACGGTCTGTTATAGCTCACTTCGGAAAAGAGTGATTGCCTGGGACCCAAACTGAGCGCGCGCTCATTTATGGTATTGTTTGGGGGGGGAAAGTCGAGCAAGCCACCTTGAATTATGACGAGACATGCAAGTTGTTGTGTTTTTTGCGCACAAAAAACTTCAGGAACTTCCCGGTCCGCGATAAGGGGGCACCAGACAAGTTTTTGTCTTTATGGTTTCTATGAAAAAACCCGAGCATAAAGGACGCAGCTAAATACTGCCTGTAAAATTAGAAAATACTTATAGTTTGCATTTAATTATCGTCACCTACTTTACTTTTGCCCCGTTGTCTGTCACTTAATGACCTAGAATTTTTATTTCACTGTTCTCCAGTTCAGTAATAACTGTTCATAAAGTCTTTTCCTTTTTGGAAAGGGAGCTCTGATTTTGGACTTGCCCGAACATTCATTTTCTTTTGAAATTCACAACAGACACACGCAATTCACACACGCAATTCAAAAATGAATTATTTCATGTATACTTCACATCATTTCACTCCTCACGGGAGATATGAACTCAATAAATTGACCCCGCTCCCAATGTGTGGCTTCATAGCTCAGCTGGTAGAGCAACGCACCGGTAACGCGGAGGTCACGGGTTCGAATCTCATTGAAGCCCTGATTTTTCAGCGTTCTTCTTTCCAATTGCTTAAATTGGAAAAATTACTGCGATGATCATTCTTCACTTTCAGACACACGCAATGTTTCGAAGTAATGAACCAAGAAGAAATAGAGACTCCGTCACCTGGAATATTATTGGGAACATTTTATTTTTGTACAACAGTGAAGTACAAGAATTCACATTAAATCCTTGAAGGGTACAGCATCTGCAAAATACAAAAAGTTACTGGATTAACATGGCAAAAGTAACACTACTGAACATTCTTTGGCGAAAAGGACTATTCTCCACTTTTACATCACTCCTTAATTGAGAACTTTAGATTTGAAGACAGAAACAAGATTTTCTCAATGCTAAGTAGTGAGTGCACATTGACCAGCAACATTTTGGTACAACAGCCCGATAGCCGTCTTCATTCTGCTCAGCGTTTTAGTGAGAACGTCTTAGGCTTAGGCCAAACGACGGACTTTTCATGAGACGAACCAAACTCTTAACTGAGATGTGTAATAAAGATTGAAAATCCTGCGCAGAGTAGTTACTTAATGTTAATTAAAAAAATTGTAAAATCAACGCTGTTATTCTCAGAGTCTTAACCGACATTTCAGCAATGCTGCTTTCTTCAGGATACAAGACTAAATACTGTTAAAAAGTTTGTTTAAAAAGTTCGAGCTTTTTAACAGTATTTAGTCTTGTACCCTGAAGAAGGCAGCATAACTGAAATGTTGGTTAAGACTCTTAAAATAACAGCGTCGTTTCTAGTTGACCTAAATGAAGTTTAGATTGTCTGTTGCGTCAAACGTTGAATTTCGGATGCGTCGAGCCAATCAACTGAATCAGACCAAAAAGCAATTTTTCTTTAAAATTTTTCCTGAATGAGGCTAAATATACATTTTCATGCAATTTTTTTAATCAATCAGTTTAGTTTGTCGCATGGGAAGATCAATGTTTGCCTCAGGGACGATCTTCAGACGTTCTATCTGTCTGCTTGTGTTGGATGATCCAAACTCATGCAGACGAACGTCAAACTTTTCACGAACCTAACTCACCAAGTTTGGTTCGTCTCATGAAAAGTTCGATGCTTGGCCTAGGCTTTGGTGGCAGAAACATGCTATAAAATTTAAGAAGTTTTATCATTTGCAATCAGGAGAGGGCTTAACCCCCTACAATAAAAATATTAAATAACCATCCTAAATTTTCAGGTGAAAAAATATATATGATGAAGCTTTCTGGGATGTTATTTTCTGAGAGTAAGAAAATATATCTCATCCACATAGTTATCCTTATCTTCGCATCTAAAGATCTCTGATACATTCCATTTCTCCCAAAGTTTAAGAACTTTTTATTATAACCACTTTGAAATCACTGGTGATCCCTGCAATCTGATTGGCTCTCAGCAGTGTGATTTATTCATGAATCAAGCTATTTTTTTCTCTAAATCACATCTGTTCAAAATCAGATCATTCAAGTTCTAAATCACATCATTTCTGTTCTAAATCGCACCATTTCTGTTTTAAAAACAAAAAATTGGTGCTGACTGAATTCCGCTATTTCAAAATGGTTGTAATGAAGTGGTAATTGAACTTAGTATCATGCAATTTTCATCTGAAATCATGCTTTCGATTTCAAATTGATTTTCAACAAACCGGCTAGCCTGCTACTGGATCAACATAATATTGGTACTGACTGGATTTTGTGATTTCAAAATGGCTCTAATAAAGTGGTAATTGAACTTCATGTTGCCAAATTTTGGTCTGAACTCAAACTTGTTATTTTAAATCGAAGTCGCACTGCGTGCATGTCCAATTTTAAAGTCATGCGTATGATTTCAGACCAAATTGCACTCCACTCAATTCAATTACCATTATGTAACACTGACAAAACATTTTTTGACAAACTGATAAGCAAACTGAGCTCTGTTCAAGTGTAGTTAGAAATCAATAATGCTACATTGTAGCATTTCACAATAAAATGAATGCATTTCATCACAGCTCAGTAAAAATTACAAAGAAGAACACAAAATAATTCACACTTCCCCTTAAAAGAATCAGAATTTGTTCTAACAGGAGACACTTCTTCCTTTTCAAGTGGAAATTGCCAAAAATCAAATTTGAGAATTCTAACATAAAAATTAAGCCTGAGAAAATAGTCGACATTTCGCAGCACCACTGGTGGTTTCTATGAGGACTGAATAAATGCAGAAATTCCACACTGATGATGCTTGTCACTACCCAAATCAACCAATCAAAAGCACTACCCAGATCTGGGTAGTAACACATTGTCAGCACAGAATTTCTTCACTCATTCCTCACATGTCATTTTGCAGGGAAACCAGCAGCAGTATGAACAAAATGTCGGCTTTCTTCTCAGGTTAAAAAAGAAAAACAGTCCAACAAACAACGTACCACTCTGACAGTAGCTCCCATAGCCTTTGGTGGAAGGTTATGCCTGAATTTAGCTCGTACAACACCACTGTTTCCGTGGGGTCTCATCACTTTTCCCCACATCACACGGATTTTACTTGCTTTCTTGTCTCCTTTGGCAACAGTCTTTCTCTTGGCACGATACACAAATGCCACACGTTTGCCAAGGTAGAAGTCTGTTTCTTTTTTGCTGTTTACTCCTTCTATCCTTACGAGGGATGTGTTGGGTTGCTGATTTCTCAAGCCTCTCTTGTAGCCAAGGACAATGCCTTTGGTGTAAAGTCTTAACAGGAAATAATTAGACCATCAGTAAAAGATCTCAAGATTGGTTTTTGACGAAGGTTAAGTAAGCAAAACATTCCTCCTTATATGTTCTACCTTAAATGAGTGTCAAAGACCCAGTTATGGCCAATATATAAGATCTACTTTTCCTTTAAGCACTGTTTTTCTTCTCATAAGGATGTCATTTTTTCCAGCCCAGGCTGAATATTCTTATTTTTCTGCCAATTTTAGATTGAACATATTCTTGTATTAATCTTAAATTACAGTAATATGACATTTTTAGAATGATTAGGTATCAATTATAGGTAGTGCAGGTTTTTTCATTTTGTTGGCTAGTTTTGCCATTTAGAGCGAGGAATAAGCTAAAAGTGTGTTGTACAACTGTATTGAATAAATTTACAGATTTTCAACCCACAAAATTGAGTCCTTTTCAAAATCTCTTAAAATATTTTTAAAATTTCACAAATTTCAGCCTTGACATTCCTGTAAAATATATTGTTATATAAAAAAAAGTTTCTTTATGTTAATTCGCCTTCTTTTCCTCACTTCCACTTGAAATCCACTTCCACAAAGGAAATTTTATCCTTAGGGAGGATTCGAAGGCCCATTGTCATCCAGACAAAAGGATAAAAAAATTTCATGCCACTTTAAAATGAGGTCTATTTGTTGATGAATATTGGCATGTATGCAAACAGGTGATCAGAATAATCTGCTGTTGTTGGCATGACTAGAGCAGGCCACACAGTGAACATGAACACAAATCTGATGTCTCGAGGTTATAGCACTGGCATAAGTGGCTAGTGACCCTTAGATTTGACTATGAGTACAAAATTACATGTCTTTATGAGTACAGGGCTGTGCTCTAGCAGAGCCCGGTGGCCCCTGGCGCCTAACTTTTGCCCCCGGGCAACTAGAAAATCTCAGATTTTTCACACAAATCATATGCTGGGCACCCTAGATTTTACAGTTTCAGAGCACTGGGCTCCCTTCAATTTTCCTTAGAGCACAGCCTTGGAGTACCACTTTAAAATTTTGAGCTGATGGTATCTCTTGCACTAAAACTTTTCCCTGTTAGGAATAAGTTTAGTGTGATTACTGAGTACTAATAATTATTAAGCTTAAGCTTATATTAATAAAATGATTAAAGAGAAACTGCTTCGATCATTATTAAAATCAAAACAAGGTACCACGCCGTCCACTAAAACATATAAACTTACCGCGTAGGTTGAGACATTTTAATCCTCTAGTTACCTAAAATCGAACGAATAAAACTTAGCCAAAACTTAATCTTTGCTTTTGAAAGGTAGCCATGCTGGCGTCTTACCACAGACAAGGCGAAATCAAGTTCCCCCACAACAATTAACCTCGCAAAGAATTGAATGCGTTAAAATACACATCCAAGTCATTGAAACGGTGGAAAAACAAAAGACAGTTCAAGGATGAAAAAGGATTTTATTCCTCACTTACTTTCGTAGCCAGAAGCGGGGATGTCGATCCGAAGAGAAAGAATGAGCCCGTGCAACGATCTTATAGCGGTCAGCGTAAGCTAGTCCCCAGTTCCCATTGTTTTCGTAGCAACAAGAAATATGGCGGCTTGAAAACCAAAACAAATTCAGGTAATTTTATTTCCGAGAAATTATGAATCCTGATCGAAGAGCTTTATCTTCTCGGTCACCCGCAACAAGGTATGAAGTCCTCCTGGTCGAGGACACGCCAAAGAAAGGGCTAAGTGAAGAGCGAATGACCACTTGCTTTCATGTTTTTGATGAAGTGATTCCTTGTTTGGGAGTTTACAAAAATGTTTTGAAGATGCTGCGAGATGAGCTTTACGACGCGGTGTACAGCAATGAATATACAACAGTGCCACCGAAAAAAGGGAAGAGTAAGACTTCATACATCCAACGTATTCCGTATTTTGTCCTTGTCAATCGTGTGTTTGAGGAACGCGACAAAAACGCAGACCAGTTGCAAGCAAACATTACCGCCCTAGAAAACAAACTCAACGACAAAGACAAACAGCTCGAGGAATGTAATCAGAACATCGACCAACTTAAAAAATCGCTCAAAGAAAGCAGCGATAAAATCTACAACATGGAAATAGAAATGGAAAACAACAACTTGGAGCAAAGAAAACTTGAAGCCAATATACAATATGAACAAATGATGCAGCAGGCCGCCAAAGACAGGTCAGAGATAAAGTTAATCCTGAATTAATACTATTATTATTATTATTATTATTATTATATTCATAATAATTATTATTCCCAAGAGTGGGGGGCTCTCCTGGCAATTCTTGGCGAGGGTGTACCACCTGGTCTTGGGACCTGGTTCTCCAAGGGCCGTTGCATTTTAGTAAAATCCAACTAGTGGTGTATTATCAATGCTGCATTCTGATTGGTTGAGCTACTACTAGGCTATATGATATAGCCTACTAGTAGTTAGTAGTTTAACTAGCTAAAAATTTTTTATTCTCGATATTTTTGACCAATAGCCCTCATGGGCTATTGACTCAGAGCCCATTTGGGCTCGAGTCGAGGAATAATTGTTAATAATATCCATACCCCCCTGCCCCCCGAGGACTTACCTATTCTTCTTACCCCTGAAGATTGGCAAAAATTGCATTCACCCGTGTAGACTTCCATAAAATATGAGTTTACCCCTGAAGAATGTGGATTTACCCGTGAAGAATTTTGTGAAAATTAAACCTTCACCCCCAAAGAATCCCATATTTTTTTACTCTACTCCTAAAGAAATCCTCAATGTTTATAACTTACCCATGGAGAATTCCATGGTTCCTCAACTAGGGGGTGCAGATATTAAATGCAATAGCCCCAAACCCTCGGACCCAGCCTCTAAAACCCATACCCGTTTTCAGATCTGGCCCCAGTTTTTCAAAAGTTGGGTAACGCTATCCACTGGTTAAATCTCTTTCCAGTAGATAGTGTAATATTGGTTAACCAGCCAACCAGTTCGTGGCAAAAAATACTCTGACTGATGTTTAATCTGGATCAGGAATTTCTGTCTTTTTTTAAAAACAGCTCAGCAAATCACATGAAGCAAATAAAACCACAACAATAAAAACAAACTTCAATGCATCCATCAGTCACCCTAGCTAGGTAACCTAAATGTATGTAAGTCTGAGATTCTATGTTAGAAATATTGTTCTAGCCTTCAGGAGTAATTCGTTACTTCATTGCGACAACATTGTTTTGTATGATCAAAACTGACTACACTTATCAGGTAATTACAGTAAATAACTGGTAAAAGTGGTTGCTAGGAGCAGTGTATCCAATGTTACCAAGTTTGAGATTCAATATTAAAACTAAAGGTATATTATTTAAATTTGTTTTGCTAGATATGAGAAGCGCATTTCCAGCCTTAAAGAGGAACTCACTCATGTCAAGGAAAGGAACAAGTTTCTTGAAAAGTTTAAAGAGGGATATGATGCTTTAGAAGAGGCTTTCAATGACTCGAAAGTGTTTGAGAAGAAACCACAGAAACCAGCTGTGTTAACAAGAAGGGCACAGATAATTCAAGACATCGCTTCTGCAAAGCTTTTAGAAGAGCAACTTCTTACCATGCAAAATGCAGTTATTGAAGAATATGAGTCATTCCTGGAAAAGAACAAGGCTCTACCCACCACTAACATTGATTTGAAGAGCAGCGGGTCAGGAAGCAGCTTTCGCGTTACCCCAGATGATGAACATGAGCAGAGAATGAAGCTGGAAGAGGAGCTGCATAAAGTCAAGGAGAGGTTCAAACAAAGTATTGCTGATGTTAAAAATGAATTCCAGCTCATTGAAATCCACAGGTCCAGCCTTGAGGACCAGTTGGCCCAGCTTGAGGAAGAGGCAAATGCGATGGAAAGAGAAGCAGCTGAAAAGTCGGAGAGGAAAAGAAGTCTCTTCCACATTGAAAGGGAAAAAGGCAAGAAACCAAGTGAGCCTAGAGAAGAAGAAGAAGAAGAAGAAGAAGAGATTGATTTTGTGAAGATTATGAACAGTGCACACCATCAAGACCCATTTATCCCACATGAGAAAATCCTTAGCAAGTACTCAGCAATGATGTATTACTCTTGTAACCAAGGGAAACACTATCATGAGTTTAAAGATGCAAAGTTTTGTGCTAGTTGCGGCGAGACCACTCTAATCTGTCCGCACAAGATTACCGATCACAAGGTTGTATCACTACCCCACAACTGCACTCATATTAAAATCATCAGACCAACAGTGCACATTTCACTGGAAGAAAAGCATCCTTTGCCTGTAGCTGAAACCCCAGAGAATGTCCAAGCTCTTTCAGCGAGAACAACCAGTGCACTGTCATATGGAGAAGATTCCATCCTAAAAGCCCAGCAACACCTCACCACTTCATACAAATTTCTTTGGGATGATTTCTATTCTCGTACTTCCACTAATCGGCAGATTCCCCGGTCGCTGCCCGAGAATCTTGTATCATCAGTTATTGAACAGTTTTACTCTTACCTGATCTGGCAAGATGATTATGCTGTTGAAGATGAGCAGATAATTTCAGTGGTAGACACTTTGTACTCTTTCTTCCAGGAACGTTATCTCATTCCAGATGTCACGTATCTTGCTGTGTATGACTTCTTTACAAGCGTGATTAAATTTGCATCAGCTAACAAGAGCATTGAGCTTTTCGCGCAAGCAATGTGTGGTAGCATAGATCCTGTTGTGATTCGTTACGTCTTGCTCATGAACGAATTCATAGATTTGGTCGAATGGGTGGCAGTCAAAGACATCAGGACATTTGCACATGTTGTATACCCCTTCATGAATGAAGAAGATATCGAGCAATTCTCCATGGGGTACACATCCTTCAGTGAGAACAAGATTTCCAAGGAACTAGTATCAGAGTATTTTCTTTACATTATTCTAAAGTACAGAGAACCTTGCTTTCAAGAAATGGAAGTCAAGCTTCTACAGCAACCTGGACGAAGACCAGGCTTTATGACCGACATTGAATATGCTGAAGCCATTGACAATATCTGTCCACTGGCTTCAGAACGTCTGAGGAGACGACTGTTTGTTGAGTCTGTAGAACACATGGGAAGCGCTGATGACTCAGTGTCAGTGATGCGATTAGCACAAATCACTGGTTATCTGACACTACTACAATTGATGCCAGTCATAAAGAACTCTGTATCTCAGAAGGTTGATGAGGCACGTCTGGCAAGTGAAGGAGGCCAGTCCTCACCTTCCGATGTTCCGTCAGGTGCTGCTACCAAACCTGGTAAATTTCAGACAACAACCACTGCACGTGCAGTAGCAGCTGAGAATGCCAAACGTGCAAGAACAAGGCAACTTAAAAGGATTGACGAGTATCAGTATGATTAAGTTTTAGTTTGAGTTAAGTGTGCAAATATTGTTTAAAGTGTTAACAATAGCCCCAAAAACCAAGGTGAAGAGATTTTTGAGAGCTTATTGAATTAAGACACAAACATATCTCACGATAATGTTTTGAGTGCCTTTATACTGAGTCCAATTGTAACCAAGGAAGGCATCAGCTTAAAACTGTTCAAATGAGCATGAGGCAAAAAAAAAACTGGTAGACAAGTTCACAGACATATTCTGAATAGTTTTTTAATATAGAAATGTGGATAGGCATTTTTAGTTGTAAATATACAGTAACTACTCAAAAGAGCACTGTATAGTACTGAACTAAATTTTTCAACTTAGGGCCTGTTTACATGAAGGTGGGGGACCCCAGGTAGGTGAGGTAATATGTGGTGGGTTACCCCACCTAACATGTAAACGTGATCACATTAAAATGAGAGATTACATGGACAGGCGTTGTACCCCACCTAAGCGGGTTACCTCACCTATCTGGGGTACCCCACCTCCATGTAAACAGGCCCTTAGTGCAGTGCTGATTTGAGGGCATCAATTGTTTGGAGATACACTTCCATTAAGCTTCCTATTTCTGAAGAACAGTTCTACATTACATTGTTTCTGAACAAACCGAACGAAAAGAAAAATTATGTTTTCTTTAACTTCAGTCTGTTCAGAAGCAACAGTTATAGCATGAGGGAGGCCCCTTTCGGGGGGGGGGGGTACTTATGTGGTACTTATGTCCCTAGTCTAAATTTCAAAACCTATCGTTTCTCATACTGAGGAGGAGGCAACGTACTTGCTGATATTTTACTATTTTATTTTCCCTTTTCTTTGTTGTCTCTCAGTTATGACCCATCTTTGCATCACTTGTTGCCATTTTAGCTCTCTTATGTTGATATTTCAAGGCCATGTTGCTTGTTGGAATCTTACCCTAACAGGGCCCCATAAGAAGAATGTAATAGTTACTTGAAACATTTACAAATTCTGTAAGTGCCCTTCCAGATTGAAATAATATCAACAATGCAGTAGTATCCATCCAACATCAACAATGTCAAACAAAAAAGCAACAATACACACCAAAATTGTTGCTGGACTTAACACACTTTTTTTTGCTCCTAAATGCAGCGCTTATACAGAGGCAGTGCTCTTTCAACTAAACATGGTAGTTTTGGCATGTATACTTTGTACATGTATGTAAATTTGTTTACAAATTAAACTTAATAGTTAATAAAGATCATCCTAAGGGCTAGGAGTCATAGTCGTCATCTTCATCCTCATGTTTTCGTTTCATTGGAGTGATCAGTGGTTGCTGAGTACTTGCCATTGTTTCATCCATGCTTGGAAGAGCTGACACAGTCAGCATAGAAGCTGGGATGACTGTGGCCTGAGATGCTGTTGTTGGTACACCTGTTTTAGTTGTGCTTGTCATAGCAGTTTTTCCAGGTTCAGTTTTTACCTGCCACATAAAATAATAATAATAATAATAATAATAATAATAATAATAATAATAATAATAATAATAATAATAATAGCAGTTACAAAGCTTATCTGCTAAAAAAGCACCTGTAAGGCCACTTTGTTAAATCCATGACAACTTCTCTAAGTGATAATCAAAAATAAAACACATGCAGTGGTGATAAACATTGATAACTTTTGCATTTCTACATAAACTTGACGATTCATATGCTAGGCAACATACATTTTTGAAAGTAATCTAAAGTGACTGTTTCAGTTTAGATCACTTAAAGTTTATATAAAAATGCAAAAGTTCACGATTATCACCGCTGTTTGCGTTTTTTTTATTAAACTATGATGGCCCAATAACAAAAGGCTTTATGATACAGTTCTCTCTGTTATGCTTTTTATACTAGCACTCAATATCGATCAATATAATGAAAGTACTAATTTACCTAAGGGGTAAGTTCAATTCCCAATTTTGGATCACAAATGGAGACGTTTACCTAAAACTTCTAAGGATACATTTAAGATTTGAGTTTCCTGTGCCTCTTTGCATAGGGTACCCACCTGTGATACTGCAATCCCTGCATTTGCCACCCCTGTTTTCTGAACAGTGTGAGTGCCTGCACTGGCAGTTGGTTCCTGCTTCACAGTAATTTTACTGACACTTCCAGGAGTCAAAGTATTGGCTGTTGTGATAGTTGTTGAAGCTCCTATTGGAGCTGACACTGGGGTAACTGCTGGCATTTTAACAGTGACTGCAGGGCTGGGTTTAATTGGAGTTGAAACTGACGACTGGGAAATGGTGCGTGCAACAACAGGGTTGGCACGAACTTGAGCATGCTGTAAACAACATAGAGACACATAAAGATATTTTAATGACAAATTATTGTTTGAACAGTTTTGTCCAACATGTGAGTACTCTACTTATTGTCATGGTATGTTGTGCAACAAATTGCTAGGTAGAAAGCATTTTTCAATCAACATCCTCAAACAGCATCTTTGATCAAATATATGTTGTAGTTAATTTTTTATCCCAGGTAATTTTTGTTTTTCCTTTGTTTCAACTTCACTAGCATACATTACCATACCCAAAAACAAAAGAAAAACAAAAATTACCTAGGATAAAAAATTAACTACAACTTATATGGTATATCTATATTAATGAAAGGAGCACGAGGAAAATTAACGCGAAATATTTTTTTCAAAAAAAATTAATATGAAAGAGAAACCAGGACCTAGTTGTTTGAAGGCCAATTAGTGCTAACCCAGGGTTAAATTTTAATCCCAAAATCTTTTTCTTTTGTTCAAAAGCATTTTCTCAGATAATTTTTCCTATTATTTTAAAAGCATCCAATCATCAAACTGCAGACCAAAGAATTAAACTGAATTTGCTTTTTTGGTTTTATCTCTGAATTCAAATTTCACACTAACCTTGGGTTATCTTAACCCTGCTTTGAAAAACCCAGACCAGCAGTTTATCCAAGCACCCAACTTCAATAATAAATACAGTCTAACCTCTCCTTATGGACACCTATAATACTGACACCTCTCTATTATGAACAGTTCGTTTGGTCCCAGAATGTTATCCCTACCTCTATAATACAGACACCTCTGTAAAGCAGACACTACTTAGTTCTGTCCCTTTGGTGTTGGTATTAAAGAGGTTTGACTGTATTCTATTTTTTATGTCAACAATACCTTTTTCTGTGCCTTGACCTTGTAATTTGTAGAGGTCAGACAGTATCGATCAGGGGGAAGCCTCAAGCCACTCTTTGCCTGGATCTGGGGCAAAGGGTGACGGTTCTTCTGACGAGCAATCTCAATGAGAAACTGCAACAATATAACAGATGGTTTAAGCAAAAGTTTTAGGCTTCCTCTAAACCATTTACCACAAGAGTAATTCTAATCAGAAGGCATTTTATCTCTGTAATATTTTAAAGGGGACAGACTGTAAACAATATTATTGTTTATCAGGGATTCATTAAGAATTCTAATAGCAGGAGAAAGGTGTAATGTTAAAAAAAAAATATTTCGAAAGAGGCTCCACGTCTGACTAAAAATAGTCAAAGGCTACCGAACATTAACAGGAGAATTCTGCATAGTAAATGGTGAATTCTCCGATCTCCGATGCCTAATAAACACCCTGGTTTATTGGTAGCTGTTCATCGCTGTGAGGCCTAAAATAGTTAGTCTCGCATCTAATGGCCTTTTCCTTGAAAAACAATAACATTCTGATGGAAATATTAAAGGTGTTAACTGTTATCTGAGTGTCACAGTAAGACTGTATAAAAAGCTTACTTACCTCTCTGGGTGGTGGGTTTGTATAAGAGTGGTCAAGTCTTGACTGAATGGCCAGCTGAACATCATCTGCATCAAGTTCTTTTTTACCAGCATGTTTGCAGTAAACAAGAGCATCCTCCAAAACTGTTGTTATGTAACCTGAAGTAAAAACAGTTTGCTTTTATCTACCACATCCTGATGGACCCTTGTGACTATTTTTTTGCCTTTGGTGGACAAGGAAATTTCCAGGTGCTAACCAGAATTCGCTACTCAAAAATACATGTAAAAAAATCATGTCTGTTTGTGTTTGTAATCCAATGGAAAAGACAAGCAATCTGTTTGACTGGTTTTACATAGGATACACTTTCAAAATATGCATTAAATACGAAGACATTATCAAAATCGCAAACATTGATTCCCAGCGAGACAAACCAATCTGCCCTAAATTGCAAAAAATATTTCCCGCAAAACAGAACAAATTACTAATCTGCAAAAATTTTTTGCCACACAGTATGAATAAACTGATCTGGCTTGACAGTTCTGATTGACAGTGCAATTCTCTATATGACCGGACTGACTAGCCAGCAATGCTTGATAGTACCAGCCGCTGTTCGGGAAATGAACCCACAGTCCTCCCCCGGTCTGACGAACTGGACACACAGGTTTGCTTTTGTTGTTTTCTACCAATCAGATCATAGCCTGCTCAATAATGCCGAGCACATCCTTGTACTTCCTAAATAAAAAATGGATTCCATCTGAGTGAAATTTGATTATCCTTTTTTTTCTTTCCTTAACAGCACTGGAATACATTTCCCATGAAAATCTCAGAGAAATTATTAATTTTTTAAGTAAAAAAGCTGAATGGCCCCACTATAGGATTTTGTTCATTGAAATCTACAGTACTGTACATAAGGACTACGGAAAGGACAAGGTTTATGAGCTGAAGATCCCGTGTTTTTGTACAATCGAATAAAAATTAACAACCTGAAAACGTTTGCGTTAATACCACAGATGTTCAATGTTTAAACAAGTTTTCCCTAAAATAAAAAGTAGATGTTTACACACATGCACACACACACAAAAATCAAATGCGACTTAAACTTTGCAGCTCTACCAAATCCCTTCATATCCGTCCGTAATATTTCGCTCAAGTTGCTGAAGGGGAGATAAAGATGTCGACACCGAATTATTGGATTTTAAAACTCACGATAGGTGTATTCTAGCATCTGATTGATAACTCTTGGATCATATTCACTGATTCCCATTTCTTTCAAAATAGCTGCCATAACTAACGCATCTTTGGGCGTGCTTTTTGCCGCTAAAGGTACTTCACTTGCTTCGTTGTCTGTCTTNCTACCAAATCCCTTCATATCCGTCCGTAATATTTCGCTCAAGTTGCTGAAGGGGAGATAAAGATGTCGACACCGAATTATTGGATTTTAAAACTCACGATAGGTGTATTCTAGCATCTGATTGATAACTCTTGGATCATATTCACTGATTCCCATTTCTTTCAAAATAGCTGCCATAACTAACGCATCTTTGGGCGTGCTTTTTGCCGCTAAAGGTACTTCACTTGCTTCGTTGTCTGTCTTGTCCGCCATTTTGTTTTAACGCAATGGAAGAGTCCGCTGAATTTGCACTATATACAATCCCACAATCCATTGCAATACTACCAAAGAAAATGGCGTCCGCTTTTCCTCGAGAAAGAAGTACAAAAGATGTTATAAATACAATACTAGATGACTATGAAAAATTGACAAAGTAAGTAGTTATTAATAGCATTTGTTAAGCTAACTGTAGAATACGTGTTTACTTACCCGGGCGTGAGGGTTAGTCATCTAACAGCCGAAAATTATAAGGTAGGCTAGGGTAATCTATAACTTTTTTCCTTTAGATTTGTTTTGTTTGTAATTCACTGACTGTGTATTCAAAACTTTCGTAGGGAACATAATTTCACATGCCAGTACATATATACTATACAACTCAAGGTTGTATTTGACCGTCCAGCCGAGTGGACGTGCAAAATAACTCTGTTATTGACAGTGGCTGACTTATTTACCAGTTCTGATTGTATCATCAAAGTTGTACAAGCTTTTGAAACGTCAGTTACAGTCTCTAACAGTGTTCAGTATTCACCCAACTGCATTCATATGGTCTTCTTGAAAGTTATTATGCAGAATTCAGCAGCCATGTTAAGTTCTTGGAGAATAGCTCTGTACTCACTCGTTCTCAGGTAAAATTGAAAAACAAGTCCCCCAAAAATCTATCAGCTGTCTGTCGGAGTTCACACCGACAGATGACCAACAGCTCTCTGACAGTCAGCTGACAGATTAAAACTAACCCTGATTTATCAAAGAAAACAGATTAGATACTGAAAATATCTCTTTTACCTTTTATCATCGAGCAACAGCTCTCCAACAGTTTAAGGACAATCGGTCGGTACTCTGAGCCAAAAAAAGGTTACGCAAATGGTAGGGCAGGATGCTCTAACAAAAATCCTTTTTGTAGCAAAGCCGACTTCTGTTCAGCAAATTAAGCCTCAGAGATAACAACACTGTAATATTTTTCTGCATTTTTGGGGTAGTCTCTAGCACAAAGGCATGTTATTCTCATAGAGCAATTTAGCGGAGGAGTTTGTTCTAAGAAATCTCGGGGCTTTTCCTGGAGATGTTTTCTGACTTTTCTGACCTTTCCTTAAGTCTTAAGCTAAATTTCTCAAGGTCTTAATTACACTCCCCAGATCTGAAAGTTTGCTATGGTTGGTCTACTTTTTTAAACCCTCATTTCAGCAGAGGTTTGTTGGGGAGGATTTGTGTGACAAGCCAAAAAAATGTCTGCGTGGAAGGCTACAGTACTCACACCTTGGAGTCTTTTAACCTACAATTCATAATGAACCTCAGGGTTGTCAGAAAGTTTTGAAGTAGACGGCTGACTTGTCAAAGTAAGCGGCCAGTCCAGGGATATTTTACTTAAAAAACGCCATCCGTAAGGAAAATGCCAAGCAGAGTAGCTGGCCGATACTAACCAAGTAGGTGACGATTTTCAGCCGGCAGCCGGCTACTTTTGACAACCCTGAACCTGGGCCCCATTTTCAGACTATTTACTGATAATATATTACCATTAATAGTAACTGTGAGAATTTCCATTTTTAGAGAATTATTTGAGAGTCTATCAGCGGCTTCTCTTTACCGAACATCAAAACAAGATGCTAGTTCTGGGGATATGACAAAGGTAGCTGAATTCTGTGCCATTTTGTTTTCTAATTGACTTGTTTCTCATTACAGAAACGCGCCCATTGATAATTTTCGCCTATGAAAAGTGATATACCCATTAGGCTTTGAGAACAAAAATGAGGTTTCAAAGGGTACTGCCATTTTCAGTCTCTTTTGAACTTTATAGTGACTAACAATAATTTCACACACTTTCCAGAAACAATGTAAAAACAATATGAGTAGGTTACCATTGTTTTAAGTGTTGGACGGTAATTGTCATGGCTACAGAGAAGAAAATATTTAATGCAAAAAGAAGCCTTTTCTTTCGCATGCACTAAAAATTAAATTGTCCTGAATTCGGTAGTCTCATTCAAATCAACTCAATGGCAAAACTGTTAAAGCTAATCAGAAACCAAAACTCTTCTTCACAAAAATCAGTCAATGAATAATAGCCAAATGTTGCAAGTGTGCGAGCAAGAACAATGCCCAGAAAAAGGACATACACAGTGGATTTCTTGATTGATACTCTCTCAAAGTCACTTTTCTTTTATTTGTATGACAATATTATTATCAATGTACAATATGTTGCTGTAATGCCCCAAACCTCTTTTAAATAATTCCACAAGTTTTAATTTAATTTAAGGCTGTTGATCAGCTCATTGCAAAGGACAGGGAACTACAATTGGCTGTCAAACAAGTGCAAGAACAACAGGCAAGACAGAAGGAAATCCAAACAGTTAAAGAAGACATTTCCAAGAAAGATCAAGAGATTCTTAANCATTGATAATTTTCGCCTATGAAAAGTGATATACCCATTAGGCTTTGAGAACAAAAATGAGGTTTCAAAGGGTACTGCCATTTTCAGTCTCTTTTGAACTTTATAGTGACTAACAATAATTTCACACACTTTCCAGAAACAATGTAAAAACAATATGAGTAGGTTACCATTGTTTTAAGTGTTGGACGGTAATTGTCATGGCTACAGAGAAGAAAATATTTAATGCAAAAAGAAGCCTTTTCTTTCGCATGCACTAAAAATTAAATTGTCCTGAATTCGGTAGTCTCATTCAAATCAACTCAATGGCAAAACTGTTAAAGCTAATCAGAAACCAAAACTCTTCTTCACAAAAATCAGTCAATGAATAATAGCCAAATGTTGCAAGTGTGCGAGCAAGAACAATGCCCAGAAAAAGGACATACACAGTGGATTTCTTGATTGATACTCTCTCAAAGTCACTTTTCTTTTATTTGTATGACAATATTATTATCAATGTACAATATGTTGCTGTAATGCCCCAAACCTCTTTTAAATAATTCCACAAGTTTTAATTTAATTTAAGGCTGTTGATCAGCTCATTGCAAAGGACAGGGAACTACAATTGGCTGTCAAACAAGTGCAAGAACAACAGGCAAGACAGAAGGAAATCCAAACAGTTAAAGAAGACATTTCCAAGAAAGATCAAGAGATTCTTAATCTAGAATCTCAACTTAAGGAAGCTGAAAAGATTCTAGTAAGTATGTAAAAAAGTAACACATCTTGAAATAAAGACTTTTTGAGGGGCTTTTTGATGAGCAGCTGTCAACTGGTCCTTATAACCAGCTGACACTACAGTAAAAATGGTTTAGTATAATTGTAAGGGCCTGTCCTCACTAATGCATTTTCAAAAGAATACATTTTCGTTGTTATTGAAAATGCATCAATGGATTTATGTCCACCCTACCGTTTTGACATGTTTTCGACTGTCCACTAAAATGTTCAAAAACAGTAGAATTGCATGTTGTGACATAAGTTGAACTCCATGCGCATGCTGCAAACACACACCTGCGATATTTTCTTTCTAATCATTGCTTTCATTTTGATGCGTTTCTGACCTTTTTTGACCATCCACACTAATGCAATGTATTTTGATCCATTTTCAAGAGCTTTTTCAAATGGATGGGTTTTGGATGAAAATGCCCTGCATGTTAGAATTGCATGCATTTTCAAATGAAAACACATAAGTGTGAATGAGGTCTAAGTTTGAAAATGAGTAAAATGCCACTGTTCATTAATTTTTGACTGGCTGCATCCCCCTAATGAAAGCCATGCTAAGCCCTTTTTGCTTACTTAAAATCTTGATCGTCCTTCCTCATTTATAAACAAGAACAGGTGGCAAAATTCAGAGTCCAAAAGCAAAACAAAGAATACCCATATAACACATTCTCTTTCAAGGGAAGGTTCTAAGCAGTGTCAATAGCGAGCTTAAGCAACAATCACAGCAACGGCTATGAAAACATCGCTTAAAAAGTGAATTTGCACCACTCCAAATTTTATTGCGCTCATTCCAACTTGTTCAGTTCGTCAATTGTTGGCAAATTTTTCTGGAGTTGAATTCTAAAAGGCACTATCAAAGTTCAGGAAAAGGAAAAGAAAGTCATTGTCTTGTGCTCACGTCCTCGACAAAACATGAAATTAGGCACTTTAACGTTGTAGTCATGCAGCAACTGCAAAGAAATGCACAAAAAAGCATGATACATATGCAAAGTTGTTGTTTTGCCAATCTGAACCTATCGCTTTTTTGCCATTCTTGTTGCTGCTGCCGTCGTCTTTGCCTAAGCTCCATAATATTTTATTTCTGGTACTTAATTAACAAGTGACTGTTTCCTGATGATCTTCTAGTCCCAAGCGTTGTTTCAAGCAAAGAAAAAGTTATCTGCCATAAACCAGGCTAATAAAGGTGAGGAATGAACATTTTTAAGTTTGTTTATTATTAGTATAAACCTCTTTACTCCAGAAATAGGTTAAAGACAAAATAGGGCAAAATTTCAAAATTTCAATTTGGAAAGTCCTGGAAAACAAATGGTACTAAATAAAAATACTGCTTAAGAGAATTTATTTCAATGGTAAATATCAAATAAATTTCGTTCGCTTTGGATCATATTCACTGATTCCCATTTCTTTCAAAATAGCTGCCATAACTAACGCATCTTTGGGCGTGCTTTTTGCCGCTAAAGGTACTTCACTTGCTTCGTTGTCTGTCTTGTCCGCCATTTTGTTTTAATGTAATGGAAGAGTCCGCTGAATTTTCACTATATACAATCCCACAATCCATTGCAATACCACCAAAGAAAATGGCGTCCGCTTTTCCTCGAGAAAGAAGTACAAAAGATGTTATAAATACAATACTAGATGACTATGAAAAATTGACAAAGTAAGTAGTTATTAATAGCATTTATTAAGCTAACTATAGAATACATGTTTATTTACCCGGGTGTGAGGGTTAGTCATGTAACAGCCGAAAATTATAAGGTAGGGTAATCTATAACTTTTTCCCTTTAGATTTGTTTTGTTTGTATTTCACTGACTGCGTATTCAAAACTTTCGTAGGGAACATAATTTCACATGCCAGTACATACATACTATACAACTCAAGGTTGTATTTGACCGTCCAGCCGAGTGGACGTGCAAAATAACTCTGTTATTGACAGTGGCTGACTTATTTACTAGTTCTTAAGGTATCATCAAAGTTGTACAAGCTTTTGAAACGTCAGTTACAGTCTCTAACAGTATTCAGTATTCGCGCAACTGCATTCATATGGTCTTCTTGAAAGTTATTATGTAGAATTCTGCAGCCATGTTAAGTTCTTGGAGAATAGCTCTGTCTTTGCATCTCTAAACTCAGTCGTTCTCAGGTTAAATTGAAAAACAAGTCCCCCAAAAATCTGTCAGCTGTCTGTTGGAGTTCACCGACAGATGACCAACAGCTCTCTGACAAACAGCTGACAGATTAGAACTAACCCTGGTTTATCAAAGAAAACAGATGAGATACTGAAACTATCTCTTTTACCTCCGAGCCAAAAAAGGGTTAGGCAAATGGTCGGGCAGAATGCTCTAACAAAAATCCTTTTTGTAGCAAAGCTAACCTCTGTTCAGCAAATTAAGCCTCAGAGATAACAACACTGTAATATTTTTGTGGGTTTTTGGGGTAGTCTCTAGCATGAATGTGTGTTATCCTCATAGAGTAATTTAACTCAGGAGTTTGTTCTAAGAAATCTGAGGGCTTTTCCTGGAGACCTTTTCTGACTTTTCTGATCTTTCCTGGAGTCTCAAGCTAAATTTCTCAAGGTCTAAATTACACTTCCCAGATCTGGAAGTGTGCTATGGTTGGTCTACTTTTTTAAACCCTCATTTCAGCAGATGTTTGTTGGGAAGGATTTGTGTGACAAGCCAAAAGAACGTCTACATGGAAGGCTACAGTTCTCACACCTTTGATTGTTTTAACCTACAATTCATAATGAACCTGAGCCCCATGTTCAGAGTATTTACTGATAATATATTACCATAGTAACTGTGAGAATTTCCGTTTTTAGAGAATTATTTGAGAGTCTATCAGCAGCTTCTCTTTACCGAACATCAAAACAAGATGCTAGTTCTGGGGATACGACAAAGGTAGCTGAATTCTGTGCCATTTTGTTTTCTAATTGACTTGTTACTCATTACAGAAACACACCCATTGATAATTTGCGCCTCTGAAAAGTGGGGTACCCATTAGGCTTTGCGAACAAAAACAAGGTTTCAAAGGCTACCTTCATTTTCAGTTTCTTTTGAACTTTATAGCGATTAACAATAATTTCTTACACTTTCCAGAAACAATGTAAAAACAATACGAGTAGGTTACCATTGTTTTAAGTGTTGAAGTGTCATTGTCATGGCTACAGAAAAGAAAATATTTATGCAAAAAGAAGCATTTTCTTTCACGTGCACTAAAACTTAAATTGTCCTGAATTCGGTAGTCTCATTCAAGTCAACTCGATGGCAAAAACCAAAACTCTTCTTCACAAAATTTAGTCAATGAGTAATAGCCAAATGTTGCGGGTGTCCGAGCAAGAACAATAACCAGAAAAACGACATACACAGCAGATTTCTTGATTGACACTCTCTCAATGTCACTTTTCTTTTATTTGTATGACAATTATCAATGCACAATATGTTGCTGTAATGTCCCAAACCTCTTTTAAATGATTCCACAAGTTTTAATTTAATTTAAGGCCGTTGATCAGCTCATTGCAAAGGACAGGGAACTACAATTGGCTGTCAAACAAGTGCAAGAACAACAGGCAAGACAGAAGGAAATCCAAACAGTTAAAGAAGACATTTCCAAGAAAGATCAAGAGATTCTTAATCTAGAATCTCAACTTAAGGAAGCAGAAAAGATTCTAGTGAGTATGTAAAAAAGTAACACATCTTGAAATAACGACTTTTTGATGGGTTTGTTTTGAAAAGCTAACCCAGGGCTATCATTAGCAGCTGTCAACTGGTCCTTATAATCAGCTGCTACAGTAAAAATGGCTTAGTATTCCAAGGGCCTGTCCTCACTAATGCATTTTCAAAAGTATGCATTTTCGTTGTCATTGAAAATGCATCAATGGATTTATGTCCACCCTACCGTTTTGATATGTTTTCGTCTGTCCACTAAAATGTTCAAAAACAGTAGAATTGTATGTTGTGACATAAGTTGAACTCCATGCGCATGCTGCAAACACACACCTGCGATATTTTCTTTCATTGCTTTCATTTTGATGCGTTTTCAACCTTTTTTGACCATCCACACTAATACAATGTATTTTGATCCATTTTCAAGAGGTTTTTCAAATGGATGGGTTTCTGATGAAAATGCCCTGCATATTAGAATTGCATGTATTTTCAAATGAAAACACATAAGTGTGAATGGGGTCTAAGTTTGAAAATGAGTAAAATGCCACTGTTCATTAATTTTTGACTGGCTACATCCCCGTAATGAAGGCCATGCTAAGCCCTTTTCATTTACTTAAAAAGCAAAACAAAGAATACCCATATAGCACATTCCCTTTCATTGGGAAGGTTCTAAGCACTGTCAATAGAGAGCTTAATCAACAATGACAGCAACAGCTATGAAAGCATCACTTAAAAAGTGAATTTGCACCACTTCAAACTTTATCCCGCTCATTCCAGCTCATTCATTTCGTCAAATGTTGGCAAATTTTTCTGGACTGTATCAAAGTTCAGGAAAAGAAAATAAAAGTCGTTGTCTTATTGTGTTCACGTCCTCGACAAAACATGAAGTTAGGCACTTTCATGTTGTAGTCATGCAGCGATGGCAAAGAAGTGCACAAAAAAACATTGATGCACTTGCAAAATTGTCGTTTTTGCCAATCTAAACCCATTGCTCTTTTGCAATTCTTGTTGCTGCCACCATCGTCTTTGCTTACGCTCCCTAATATTTTATTTCTGGTACTTAATTAACAAATTACTGTTTCCCGATGATCTTCTAGTCCCAAGCGTTGTTTCAAGCAAAGAAAAAGTTATCTGCCATAAACCAGGCTAATAAAGGTGAGGAATGAACATTTTTAAGTTTGTTTATTATTAATATAAACCTCTTTACTCCAGAAACAGGTTAAAGACAAAATAGGGCAAAATTTCAAAATTTCAATTTGGAAAGTCCTGGAAAACAAATGGTACTAAATAAAAATACTGCTTAAGAGAATTTATTTCAATGGTAAATATCAAATAAATTTCGTTCGCTGAATCAAAAGTTATAACTATCTTATAAGTAATATATCAAATATGAGATGCAGTGTTTCATCACCAGATGAAACACCGAGAAGAGAGTTGAAAATACGAAGCACCGCGGAGTATTTTTGACGAACTTCGAGGTGTTTCATCTGGTGATGAAACACTGTGTCGAATGTTTGATATTTCTTCTCAAACAAAATCATTTTTGAAGGAGAAATTAAGGATGCAAAAATGAGCAGTTTTTCATCTGATATCCAAACACTCATTAAACATTAATTTCCTTTGAATTTTCTTTATGAATTATTAATGAGTTTGAGAAGATCCCATCAATCACTCTGTTACTGAAAGGGTTTAATTTTGCAGAGGTGTGGGTGTCCTTGACAAGGAAAGGAAAGCATTGCAGAATCTATACACTAATTTTGTAAATGCAAAATGTTTTTCTTTTAACAGGAATAGTTTCTTCTGAAGAGCTCATCAAGTATGCTCATCGAATAAGTAGTAGCAATGCTGTAGAAGCACCAGTGTCATGGATGCCAGGTCAGTTATTTAAAATCTCCCAAGCTGCCTTTTGTTATTTCTTATTACACTCCTAGGGAGGACTTGGAACAGCAAAACCTTTGACTTTGCCTAAAAATATGAAATCCTAAAGTTTATTTTGTGACAGTTAAGTGAATGATGCGGTAAAGAAGTGCTGCTAAGAGGTTTCATTGTAGTGGTCACACCATTGGATTTCATCCACAGACTTACATTAATTTTGTAGACTTGAGAACTCATTCTAAATAAACACTATGATGTGAGGGTACTTCCGAAAAAGTCTTGTTTAAATCGTAACACCATAGGCTTTAATCCACAGACTCAAAAGTTAGGACAAGATAGTCTAAATAAGTAGTATAGTATAAATTAACGTACTGCCAAAAAAGTTTCATTTGAATGGTAACACCACAGGATATCATCCATAGACTCAAACGTTAGAACTACTGTACATACTAAATAAATAGTACCCTGTGAAAGCACGTACTAAAAGCTTGTACCATGTGTTCTGTGTGGTCACACTTTAGGATTTCAGCCACAGACTAAAATGCAGGCTAACTCAAATATTAAAACTATCTCCTTGAATGAAAATTTTGCTAGTACTCTGTAGTTATTTATTAAACCACTTATTGTGTTCATGTAGGAGACCCTCGGAGACCATATCCTCAAGATATTGAGATGCGATCAGGCTTGCTTGGCAGACTTGGGGAAGATGTTGCTATGGAAACTGAACAACCCATGGGAGATTCAAGTCTCCAAGAATTTATGCAGCCTTCCTCATCTACCTCAAATTCACAACCAGCAAATGCTCTTGGTAAGATATATACAGACAAATTACAGTGTAATGTGTCCTTTTTTGCCCTTTTACTACAGTGGACCCAGCCTTATACAGGGTTTTCAATAAGATTTTCAGTAGGTGGCAAAATAATGCTTTGGAGAGGGTGTAGAAGGAAAAAACTTGTGGCAAAGGTGCAACTTGCGAGTGCTGAAGGCGCAAGTTTGGAAAAATTTTGAAATCTGGGCTTCTTAAAATGCATTTCCAGCATTCTCGAGCAGAAATTAGACTGTTTGAACAGAACACAGACATCATTAAATTTTGGCTTTTTTATTCAGTGACAGAACATGAATACTTTATAAACTGGGGTGATTTCCAAAGAAAAGTAGGTGGTGAGTTCACGTGAAATAGCCAGCAAATTTCGCCAGCCACTAGCTCTTATTGAGAACCCTGCTATATCCAACCATTCATTTAACCACTCTATTCTTATGAACATATTTTTTCTCAAACTTGTTCCTTGTGAAGCTGAAGTTGAGGACAAAATTAGTTGAGACACTTTGCCCTAAATAGGGAACTACAATTGGCTGTCAAACAAGTGCAAGAACAACAGGCAAGACAGAAGGAAATCCAAACAGTTAAAGAAGACATTTCCAAGAAAGATCAAGAGATTCTTAATCTAGAATCTCAACTTAAGGAAGCAGAAAAGATTCTAGTGAGTATGTAAAAAAGTAACACATCTTGAAATAACGACTTTTTGATGGGTTTGTTTTGAAAAGCTAACCCAGGGCTATCATTAGCAGCTGTCAACTGGTCCTTATAATCAGCTGCTACAGTAAAAATGGCTTAGTATTCCAAGGGCCTGTCCTCACTAATGCATTTTCAAAAGTATGCATTTTCGTTGTCATTGAAAATGCATCAATGGATTTATGTCCACCCTACCGTTTTGATATGTTTTCGTCTGTCCACTAAAATGTTCAAAAACAGTAGAATTGTATGTTGTGACATAAGTTGAACTCCATGCGCATGCTGCAAACACACACCTGCGATATTTTCTTTCATTGCTTTCATTTTGATGCGTTTTCAACCTTTTTTGACCATCCACACTAATACAATGTATTTTGATCCATTTTCAAGAGGTTTTTCAAATGGATGGGTTTCTGATGAAAATGCCCTGCATATTAGAATTGCATGTATTTTCAAATGAAAACACATAAGTGTGAATGGGGTCTAAGTTTGAAAATGAGTAAAATGCCACTGTTCATTAATTTTTGACTGGCTACATCCCCGTAATGAAGGCCATGCTAAGCCCTTTTCATTTACTTAAAAAGCAAAACAAAGAATACCCATATAGCACATTCCCTTTCATTGGGAAGGTTCTAAGCACTGTCAATAGAGAGCTTAATCAACAATGACAGCAACAGCTATGAAAGCATCACTTAAAAAGTGAATTTGCACCACTTCAAACTTTATCCCGCTCATTCCAGCTCATTCATTTCGTCAAATGTTGGCAAATTTTTCTGGACTGTATCAAAGTTCAGGAAAAGAAAATAAAAGTCGTTGTCTTATTGTGTTCACGTCCTCGACAAAACATGAAGTTAGGCACTTTCATGTTGTAGTCATGCAGCGATGGCAAAGAAGTGCACAAAAAAACATTGATGCACTTGCAAAATTGTCGTTTTTGCCAATCTAAACCCATTGCTCTTTTGCAATTCTTGTTGCTGCCACCATCGTCTTTGCTTACGCTCCCTAATATTTTATTTCTGGTACTTAATTAACAAATTACTGTTTCCCGATGATCTTCTAGTCCCAAGCGTTGTTTCAAGCAAAGAAAAAGTTATCTGCCATAAACCAGGCTAATAAAGGTGAGGAATGAACATTTTTAAGTTTGTTTATTATTAATATAAACCTCTTTACTCCAGAAACAGGTTAAAGACAAAATAGGGCAAAATTTCAAAATTTCAATTTGGAAAGTCCTGGAAAACAAATGGTACTAAATAAAAATACTGCTTAAGAGAATTTATTTCAATGGTAAATATCAAATAAATTTCGTTCGCTGAATCAAAAGTTATAACTATCTTATAAGTAATATATCAAATATGAGATGCAGTGTTTCATCACCAGATGAAACACCGAGAAGAGAGTTGAAAATACGAAGCACCGCGGAGTATTTTTGACGAACTTCGAGGTGTTTCATCTGGTGATGAAACACTGTGTCGAATGTTTGATATTTCTTCTCAAACAAAATCATTTTTGAAGGAGAAATTAAGGATGCAAAAATGAGCAGTTTTTCATCTGATATCCAAACACTCATTAAACATTAATTTCCTTTGAATTTTCTTTATGAATTATTAATGAGTTTGAGAAGATCCCATCAATCACTCTGTTACTGAAAGGGTTTAATTTTGCAGAGGTGTGGGTGTCCTTGACAAGGAAAGGAAAGCATTGCAGAATCTATACACTAATTTTGTAAATGCAAAATGTTTTTCTTTTAACAGGAATAGTTTCTTCTGAAGAGCTCATCAAGTATGCTCATCGAATAAGTAGTAGCAATGCTGTAGAAGCACCAGTGTCATGGATGCCAGGTCAGTTATTTAAAATCTCCCAAGCTGCCTTTTGTTATTTCTTATTACACTCCTAGGGAGGACTTGGAACAGCAAAACCTTTGACTTTGCCTAAAAATATGAAATCCTAAAGTTTATTTTGTGACAGTTAAGTGAATGATGCGGTAAAGAAGTGCTGCTAAGAGGTTTCATTGTAGTGGTCACACCATTGGATTTCATCCACAGACTTACATTAATTTTGTAGACTTGAGAACTCATTCTAAATAAACACTATGATGTGAGGGTACTTCCGAAAAAGTCTTGTTTAAATCGTAACACCATAGGCTTTAATCCACAGACTCAAAAGTTAGGACAAGATAGTCTAAATAAGTAGTATAGTATAAATTAACGTACTGCCAAAAAAGTTTCATTTGAATGGTAACACCACAGGATATCATCCATAGACTCAAACGTTAGAACTACTGTACATACTAAATAAATAGTACCCTGTGAAAGCACGTACTAAAAGCTTGTACCATGTGTTCTGTGTGGTCACACTTTAGGATTTCAGCCACAGACTAAAATGCAGGCTAACTCAAATATTAAAACTATCTCCTTGAATGAAAATTTTGCTAGTACTCTGTAGTTATTTATTAAACCACTTATTGTGTTCATGTAGGAGACCCTCGGAGACCATATCCTCAAGATATTGAGATGCGATCAGGCTTGCTTGGCAGACTTGGGGAAGATGTTGCTATGGAAACTGAACAACCCATGGGAGATTCAAATCTCCAAGAATTTATGCAGCCTTCCTCATCTACCTCAAATTCACAACCAGCAAATGCTCTTGGTAAGATATATACAGACAAATTACAGTGTAATGTGTCCTTTTTTGCCCTTTTACTACAGTGGACCCAGCCTTATACAGGGTTTTCAATAAGATTTTCAGTAGGTGGCAAAATAATGCTTTGGAGAGGGTGTAGAAGGAAAAAACTTGTGGCAAAGGTGCAACTTGCGAGTGCTGAAGGCGCAAGTTTGGAAAAATTTTGAAATCTGGGCTTCTTAAAATGCATTTCCAGCATTCTGGAGCAGAAATTAGACTGTTTGAACAGAACACAGACATCATTAAATTTTGGCTTTTTTATTCAGTGACAGAACATGAATACTTTATAAACTGGGGTGATTTCCAAAGAAAAGTAGGTGGTGAGTTCACGTGAAATAGCCAGCAAATTTCGCCAGCCACTAGCTCTTATTGAGAACCCTGCTATATCCAACCATTCATTTAACCACTCTATTCTTATGAACATATTTTTTCTCAAACTTGTTCCTTGTGAAGCTGAAGTTGAGGACAAAATTAGTTGAGACACTTTGCCCTAAAATGGGCATTGAACTGACATTTGTCACATTTGTCAAACTTAAAAAGTGGAAAGAAAAGCTTTTCCTCCCCCCACCCCCTCCATGCAATGTTGTGTTGCTGTTCAAGCTACCTGTAGAAAATAACAAACACCCCAACTTTGAATACAAGGGAGTGGAGGGGTGTGGATTGTTTTGTTCTCAAAGTTACCCCATGAGAGGATAGTGTCTCAACAATTTTGTCACCCATGGTGAGTTTATAAGTTTGTCAGAAGTCACATAGTACTTGGATTACTTTAGCATGGTGGGATCTCACATTCCCTTTACATATCACGATGGTTTCCTGCAGTTGCTTAGTAACACAACTGCAACAAACAAATCAACATGCCAATACTTTGGATTTTGTAAGAGTGTGTATAAAATGCGAGCCAGCGAGTCATGCGTGCCATGCAGTCCATTGAAGAATCATTGAAAAAAAAAACCATAAAAATCGAAAATAGTAATACGGAAAACATTAACTGAACGCTAACCGTTGTAAATAAGTGTTTAACCCTAAACAGCGCTTAACCCTAGCCCTAAAATGAGTGCTTAACCCTAATCCGTAAAATGAAAGCTTAACCCTAATCAGTACAATGAGTGCTCAACTCCTCATCTGTAAATTTGCAGTTTTTACTTGTGTTCCCTTTTTTTTTACCGATGCCTCGCGTGACTCGCATGGCTCGCTGGCTCGCAGTTTGTCAAGACCTATTTTGTAATGTACCACAAGGAACAAAACCTTGCCTAAAGCTGTAGTGCGCGGCGTGCAAACAACGTTTTGGACGGTTTTGGCTCTTTTGAGAAAAAAGCAATGCTCCGGTAACTTAATTTGTGCCTTTAGTGGTTTCTAAAAAAATGATGTGATTATCGGACTTTTTATTTTCAAAAAGGACGGGCAAATGGTCAAGCTTCTTCCTTCTCCTGGCAGAGCAATTTTTCTGGAGGATCCACATCATTCCAGGTAGAATATAATAATTGTAATTATTAGACTCGGCCTGCTCGTAGGCGTTTATTCCTAGACTAGAATATTTTGATTTTTCACTCTCACCAAATTTCATCTACCTGCTCGTATAAAGGTTCAGAATAAAGGTAATAACCTTCACGATTTTCAAGAAGTTACGCCAAACCTGTTTACTCACACTAGCCTGCGTGGCAGGTGTTCGAAGGGGAAAGAGGATTTTGGGCGCGCGAGTAGGGCGCCCCTCGCGTTTCTCTCGCCAAAAATCCCCTTTCCCTTCCTCTTCGAAAGCCTGGCACGCAGTCTATACTCAAACTGGCAACTTACTTTGCAAAAATGGCTTCTACAATTTGTTGATTTTAGCAAATTTGGGGCTTCTTATCTTACTGTACCTAAGAAGTAAAATTAAAAAATATTTTATATTTTTATTTTTTCATAATCATTCGTTTATTTTTTTTTAGCACGATTCCTCCTCCGGCTTCGATTTTATAGCCAATAACCTGACAAAGGAAGTAACAAATGGCAGCCAAGATCAGGGTGTCGACGAAGTGGAAATCATGTCATCATCGTCATCATCGTCGTCTAGCGATAGTCCAAAAAAAAAAAAAACGAATTACTTGTTTCTTAATTTTAACCTGTTAGTTCCTTTAGAGCCTGTAAACAATAATAAGCTTTGACAATATTTGTAAATATTGAATTAAAAAGGTAAAACTACCATTGAAAAGATCTTCTCCGTAGTTTTTTTTTAATAATTGCACTGCAGTATTTTATTGGCTAACTCCAAAGTTGGAGCCAGTCGACTTTTCGGCAACTTGATATCGTGGAAACATTCACCCAGGATTCACCTTATTATTTCCCTGCATAAAATTTCTTTCTTGCAATATGGATCCAGGCATTCCAGGGAGCCAAAAACAGTCATGCACATACCATTAGACACTTTAAACAGAAACTAAGGCAAATATCGTGACATAAATTTCTTGATCCCGCGAGCGTTTCGTAGGTTTTAACATTTTATTGTACCATAGGAATTTTAAACGGAAACTTAAGTAATCCCCCCCCTTCTTTTTTAGGTAGATATATAACCTTTATAATGCATTATACCTTTGTCTTTGTCACTGAAAAACCCCGCAGGGGAGAGACAATAAAGTTCTTTCTTTCTTTTAATATTAAAATAAAGTTGTCAGGGTGAGTTTCTTAGGGCGAATTCTTTGGATTCGTTTCGAAGAAAAATATTAAAAATCCTTGGTTCTTAGTGTGAGAACGTGATGAGTCTCATATCATTACGGGAAAACCGCTTGCCAGGTGTATTTTTTTTTTGATCTGTGGTGACGTATTCTGCCGGAGGACCGGGCGCACGCTCCGATCATAAATTCTAAAAGTCGGGTTGAGATTTGATCAAAAGACTGTAGATTGTATAGATTCAAAATCCGTGTTTAACAGGTCACGTTACAAGGTGGAACAGCATGGATTAATTAAGCCACCACCGACGCGTGATCCACACGTGCGAGTTTCACATGCCCAGTTGGTGTGGTTCTCGCCTACGCTAAAAAACCACATGTAGGATAAGGCACACCAAAAAATAGCGAGAGTTAAGGTTTTTACCACGAGACGGCAGCAACATTGTTACCCTATATTGTCATCTTCACGGCCACTTAGTAATTTTCTCCCGTCATGTCGATGTAAAGGTACGGGAAAACGGGCAACAAAAAACGTGCAAATTGTCGTGCAACATTGTTGCAAAAGGATTTGAATAGCGATGTTGCGCATATTACCACTCACGTTCAAACCTCTTAACAACCTGTTTTGTTGCAAGACAGGTTTGATGGGGGTGGTAAAACGTGCAACATCGCGATTCAACTCCTTTTGCAGCAATGTTGCAGGACAAGTTGCACGTTTTTTGTTGCCCGTTTTTCTGTACCTTAAGATGGCCAAGTGCACATAAAAACGGGACTTTTTGGTCAGCCTGTTCGTCTTCGTTAAAGCCACTCCTGGATTCTGAAATATCCTAAAGCAAGACAAACTTTTTAAAGTTCAACTTTATATGATGCGACCCGGCCTTCTCCAGCGCTCGGTTATATTTGTTGCCTAGTATTTTACGAAAAAGTTGTTCGTCTAGCTTTACTCAAAAAATTCATTTCCCAAAGCTTATCGCTTGGGGTACCATCTTCTCACTGCTTCCCGAGCGCGGTGAAAGCATGCTTGTCATAAGAGATTTTCAAAAGTCATCCTTCGTCGAAGTTTTAAAGAAATTAATGATCTGGATTTCCCCGCGGAAGGTCAGACTGACCCACTCAAGCGTTCCAACCAGGAGAGAACATGCCCCTGTAGTTTTTCCAGGGGGCTTGATCCCTGTGATCAGGTTTTAGGTTGAAAATATTCAAAATGCCTTACCATCAGTAAAAATGAAAGAAAGGGGAACGCATAACTCCTCTCTATTCTATGTGAATTTATTGTATACTTCATCATTTTTTGTTGCCTTACTCTTGTGCTAATTCATTGCAAATCTCCAATGCAATGTGTATGATGAGGATATTCTGTCGAGTCTTTAAAGCCGAAAGGAAAGTCATGTAATTTATTAAAACTTACCGCGTGTTAAAAATACCCAGCCATATTACCGATTCTCTAAAATTCTTAATTAAGAAGGCTAACTTTTTCTAACGCATCGATAGAAGTGTGCGATAACGGCGTGCTATTTATTTCCATTTGCACTCAATGTAAAACACTATTTTTAATAATAAAAATAAGCTTTTAATGAGGCCTTGAGTGACAGACTGACATTGTACTCTGTTTACAGATCCTACGCTCTTCCCCGAGCCAGTTTTTTCTTTACGTTTACAATTGGGAATTCGCCACTTTAGCTCAGTGACTTTCACACCAGGTACCGGACGAATCATTCGACCGGTTGAAATTTCGTGCGTTTAGGTGATCCGTTCACGCGAAAACCACATTAACCGTAGGAAAATTTAGACGCCTAGCCGTTCAAAGTAGTAGTACAGTAGCCCCTCCAGACCTTTACTTTCAATGGCCTAAATAAGCAGTAGTTTCTTTTGTTTTTAGGGCTAGAGGTATTGTTTGTGTTGAATCATCTATTGTTTTGTTCTCCAATCACAGGAAATGTCTAGAGAGCTACCGACCTTTCAAAGTTCCGTGTGAACAGAGCGAAAATATTTAATCGGTCCCGTGTGAACAAAGCCTTTGTTTTCCAGATCTTTTCTCAGTTGCTCTCCAGTTCACCATAATCACAAGAAGAAGAAGAAGGCACTAGTGTCTACAGCACTGCTTCAGCGTGGGAAGTTCTACTATAAAGTATTGTTTTAATTTAATATGACTAACAAGTCAGCTCAGTGAAGTAACACGTCTCACAGGCACATTTCCACCCACCCCTCCCACGCATTAAGCAGGTGATTCAAACGTGTTTAAAGATGCGTCCAAATTTAGCACGAAGCAAATGAAAAAGAAGAAGCGTCGAAGTAGTAGTATTTTCATTGTATCTGACGATAATTCGCTCAGGTGCGAAAGGCAAGGGGACGTGGCGGCCCTTGGAAGCAAAATCTGTGCGAATATTATATGCTTACTTAGTGGGCCTTTGCCTAAGAAGTCAACGTGGCCTTGAAAGAGAAGACAGCTTTATGGTCGAATTAGAAAATTGACGCACGGCGTGGGGCTGATAACTTTTAAGACATTATATCACAAAAATCAAATCTTTTAAATCAAACATTAGGAGATGGAATGCTTTTCTTTCAAGTTCTGCACGGCGTGAAACTAAAGAACATGGAAACCATGTAAGTTCACTTATAAATATTTTTTCCTTTAACCTGTGAATCACGGGTCAGTCATATAGCAAATGTTAGGATTCTGCGTTTATTTTCTTCCTTTTTCTTTCTGGTTAAGAAATATTTACATCGTAATAGTTCCTTTTTACAAGGTCGGCTCGAAAAAAAAAATTGTTTCTCATTGTCGATGCAAATTAAAACTATTAGCCTCGAAACAAACTGAAATCTATTCACGCCAATCACTTTGCCGATTTATTTCTTCGAACTAGCAAGTCCAAAAACAAGTCTTACAGATATTTTTCGCACATCGAATTTAAGTCACTGTTCCTTACGAGTTCGTCTCCAATTATTTTTAAACATACTCTTGTACAACTGATATTCGTAATTATCAAGTTGATCATTCGATGTATTTTTTACTTTGATTTAAAACAAGAAGGCACATCTGCCGAGGGGAAATTGTTAACACTCTCGCTCAGAAATTCTTTGCTATGAATAATGTCTGTAAAGCAAAATATAATGTATCAATGCAAAAAGACATAACAGCAAACTGTGAAAAGCGGTTTTTTTTCGTTCAGTGTGTCGTAAGTTAGAGTTGCCTCTCGAGAAATAATTATTTCATAATATTGTTTATCTGCTATAAGTTAAAAAAAAAAAAGAAACCGATCGTTCTATCTATCAGTTTTCTACTGATAATTTGCAACACCTACACAATCACTTTATATCTGAATGGTTTACTTTCGAAATTTGCCTTAACTTGTTAGAACTTATATATCGAATAAAGGTTATTTCCTTAGTTTTTATCATCGGTTTTAGAAATATGTAGCTGGTATATTATATCACGAATACCGGCTAAGGTTTAGCACTGAATGCCAGACTTATAACCGATTTGAGGGGAAAATCCTTTGATGATTAATAAAAATAATCGTCTTGTGAAGTTCTTGGCATTTTTCAGTCGAAGGTGGGATTTCATTTTATAAGCAAAAATTTGTTACCCAACTTCATTACTTTAGATTGGTAATACTTTCAACGTATTAATGGCTTTTACATTCCAAAACTTAAAGAAGTTTTGTAGTTCCCTTTTTAAAATAAATTTCTGGAAAAATATATATTTTGAAGATGTTTTATTGATTCGTCTGTATAAACTGGTGTTTACCCAGAATTTTCACTTTCTAATTATGGAAATTACTTTTTGCTGCGTTGGCGGATAACTAAATTGCTTCGTGTGCAAAAATATGACAGTTAGATAATGGTAAAAAAACTCAAAGTGAGGATATCATCAGAGGAACAATTTGTTGTAAACAAGCTGCCATTTGATAAAAAATAAGACCTTTTTGTTCTTTTTAACAGGCTATGGTGTCGCGATATAAGCCATTATCTTATTTGTTCAACGATCTCTGTCTGTATGTCAAACTTGGAAAATTATTTTTAGTATTTTGATTGTTTGGATTAGAGATCTATCGGATGTCAGTTTTTAGTACAACTGACGAACAGTCGCAACTGCAAAGATCATCCACTTGTTCTTCCTGTGGAGTTTTAGTAATTTATTTGCTTATAGTTCAGAAGTCTTGACTGAAGAAAAGAGACTCGATCATCAGGTCAGTTCTGCATTGTCATAACTGTTGTATATGTATATGTTATATTTAGCATATAAAAGACTTTAGGACTCGCTTAGAACTCTTTGGAAAAAACATATTTTTCCTACCGAACATTCTAACAGCTAGAAAACTGACATTAAGCTTAAAAAAGCACTAAATTAATTTTTTTCTTCCTTTATATTGTCTTTCGTATCGTGAGAAAAAGTAAGATTTTCCTTTTTTTCTGTTTATTACCCGGGGTTCATTAAACCTCACGGGTTCCCTAATAAAAGGAGTGCTCGACAAAAAATTCAGTTTTCATCGTCAAGT